AATAGGTGCCTTCCTGGACCTGCCAAAAGGAGCCTATGGTATTTGTGTTAACATGTGCCCAGGAGAGAAATCCTGTCCAGGGCAAAGAGATGCCAAAGCAATGGCTGTAGCCATGTGTGCACAGTTGTTCCTGAAACAAGTCAAAGCCAGCCCCTGAGATGCTCCCAGGGGAAAATGATGCTTTGGTCTTCCTTAGGATAACCACAGGGAAGCAGGAATTGTTTTGACTATTCCAGGATTTCTGGCCACCTTCTCTGAGCTCTTCTGTTGTCCTGGCTTCCCTGAAACATGCTTAGAAGCATGCTAAGCAGTTAAGAAGAGATAGCTTGATCCTGGACATAGCCCAATTGTCAATACAGCTGTCCAACTTCCATGGACTTTTGGGCTTATTTCTGCCTGACAACAGGGCGAGTGGTTGGGGAGGAGGAAAGAAAAGGGACCAGCAATCATGTGGCAGCTGCTGTGTGTTACGTGCCTAAATAACAAGAATAATATGAAAAGGTCACCATCCTCAAGTGCTTTCAGTCTAGTTAGGACTAGTTAGGGACTAGGCTCTATCGAGTCATAAAACAAATTAAAAAGCATGTAATAAGGGAACAGAGATCTGAGGAAGCAGTGCAGAGCCAACAACTTTACCAGGAAGAGTCTTCAGAGAAGAAATAATAATCTGAGCTAGATCTTGACAAAGAGCAGGAGTTAACAGAGCGAAGAGGACAAGCCAGGCAGAGGAAGCAATGGTCACATCACCCTGGATGAGCCAAAGCCATAGAGATTTAGAGCAGGGGAGGATGTGGCAAGAGACTCCCCATAGGGTAGTGGCAGGGAGAAATTTGCAAAGGAGGATCAAGATAGAGTCTAAAGCACCTTAAATACCCTACTTGGGTTCAAATGGAGCACCGTGGTAGGTGTTTAAGCAGGGAATGGCTCATGATAAATTCTGTATTTTATGTCAACAGCAGTGATGACCATGCAGGTGGAGGCACAGACCTTTATAAGAGCTGCCAGGTCACTTCTTCAGAAGATTCTTCACCCATTCCCAAGCCCTGGTTGTCCTTCATCCTTGGAACTACAAACCTGGAAGAAATAGCCTTATTTTAATTATTCAATTTCAGAAATGTCCACAGGAAAACTTTTATCCAGAAAATCTTGATCCTAAAAACTCTTACCCAGAATAAGCTGTTCTGGCATTATCCAATCTGAGTCTTTATACTATGTAAGGTCTCTAAGGGGCCCTTTCTGGACTAGTGGCATTATAAATAGCATAAAAGTAGCATAAAAATAATAAGGCCCATGTATGTGGAGGCCTGAAAGCAATTCTGGGAATTCTAAGAACAGAGTCCCTCAAGTATCGTCCTACATCTTTAGTGGCATCTGGATATAACTGCTCTCGGTCTAAGGGTGAGTGGGGCTGACCCTCTGCTTAGCCTCCATGGGAGGAGGAAGATCGTATTAGTTTGTTTTCATGCTGCTAATAAAGACACACCTGAGACTGGGTAAATTATTTTAAAAAGGATTAATGGACTCAGTTTCACATGGCTGGGGAGGCCTCACAACTATGGTTTAAGGTGAAGGAGGAGCAAAGGCACATCTCACGTGGTGGGAGGCAAGAGAGAATGAGAACCGAGCAAAAGGGGTTTCCCCTTATAAACCCATCAGATCTCATGAGATGTATTCACTAACAGTATGAGGGAACCCCCCACCATGACTCAATTATCTCCACCGGATCCCTCCTACAACACGTGGGAATTATGGAAACTATAACTCAAGATGAGATTTGGGAGGGGACACAGCTAAACCATATCAAAGATGTAGGGTAGACTGAGGTAGATGTAGGTAGACTGAGAGAGCACCAAACGTGGGGATCAGAGCCGGGTCATAGGGAATGAATGAAGAAGTCAGCTGTGTGCAGTGGCTCACATCTGTAATCCCAGCACTTTGGGAACCTGAAGCAGGCAGATCACTTGAAGTCAGGAGTTCGAGACAAGCCTGGCCAACATGGCAAAACCCAGTCTCTACTAAAAATACAAAAATTAGCCAGGCATGATGGCGCATGCCTGTAGTCCCAGCTATTCAGCAGGAAGCTGAGGCAGGAGAATTGCTTGAACTCTGGGAGGTGTAGGTTGCAGCGAGCTGAGATCGTGCCACCACACTTGAGCCTGGGTAACAGGCTGCCACCAGACCCAGCCTGAATACTGATTTTTATTAGTTTTCAGATAGTCGGGGGATCAGCAAACTACAGCCCACAGGCCAAATCCAGCCACCTCCTGGTTCGGCACATCCCATGAGCTAAATTGATCTTTGCATTTTAAAATGTTTAAAATACAAACAGACACATAGGCTAATAATATTTAGTGATATGTAAAACAATGGAATTCAAATTTTAGTGCTCATAAAGTTTCATTTGAACATAACTACACTCAGTAGTTTCTGTATCGTCCATGGCTGCTTTCTAGATACAATGTCAGAGTTAGGGAGTCACAACAACGACTGAATGGCCTGCAAAGCCTAAAGTATCTACTCCTGCCCTTCACAGAAAAAGTTTACTGACCCCTAGTGTAGATCCAGAAAATGAAAAATTGATATAATTTCAGAAAACTACAGTGTGTGATATCATACAAATGGATAAACGGATTTTCCATCTCCAGTAGCATTTTTTAATTTTCCCTTCCTCCCACAAAGAGATTTATAATTTAAAAATATAAAAAGTTACTCTGAAAACAAAACAAACAAAAAGTCAGTCAGAGATCAGAAAACAGCCCAAATATGTATCCTGACTCTTTTTTTTTTTTGAGACGGAGTCTCGCTTTGTCGTCCAGGCTGGAATACAGTGGCCGGATCTCAGCTCACTGCAAGCTCCACCTCCCGGGTTTACGCCATTCTCCTGCCTCAGCCTCCCGAGTAACTGGGACTACAGGCGCCCGCCACCTCGCCCGGCTAGTTTTTTGTATTTTTTTAGTAGAGACGGGGTTTCACCGTGTTAGCCAGGATGGTCTCGATCTCCTGACCTCGTGATCCACCCGTCTCAGCCTCCCAAAGTGCTGGGATTATAGGCTTGAGCCACCGCGCCCGGCCTTTTTTTTTTTTTTTTTAAGACAGAGTCTTGTTCTGTCACCATTCTGGAATGCACTGGCATGATCTCAGCTCACTGCAACCTCCACTTCCTGGGTTCAAGCAATTCTCCTGCCTCAGCCTCCCAAGTAGCTGGGACTACAGGCATGCACCACCACACCCGGCTAATTTTTGTATTTTTAGTAGAGATGGGGTTTCACCATGTTGACCAGGATGGTCTTGAACTCCTGATCTCGTGATCCGCACACCTCGGCCTTCCAAAGTGCTGGGATTACAGGCCCGGCCATATCATGACTTCAATTCAAATATGTATCATCCCAACTATACATTCCAAATAATCTTGACATTAACCCAAGCATTACATTGAAATATTATCAGAATATTCTCAGGACAAACACACATACAGAAAAATGTATATAACTATTGATCAGATGATACAGAGAGAGAGAGAGAGAGAACTACAATATCTCTAGAAGAGAACCCAAGAAATTATAATAGCAGTTCTTCCTGGGGAGATAATAGGGTGGGAGGTATTGGAAGTCAGAATCAGGAGGAAAATTTCTTTTCTTCTTCTTTTTTTTCTTTTTGAGACCAGGTGTCACTCTGGTTGCCCAGGCTGGAGTGTAGCGGCACAATCTCGGCTCACTGCTGCCTCCATCTCCCAGGCTCAGGTGATTCTCCCAGCTTAGCCTCCTGGGTAGCTGGGACAATAGGTGCACACCCCCAGGCCCAGCTAATTTTTTGTATTTTTAGTAGAGATGGGGTTTCGCCATGTTGCCCAGGTTGGTCTTGAACTCCTGGACTCAAGCAATCTGCCCACCTTGGCCTCCCAAAGTGCTGGGATTACAGGTGTGAGCCAATGCACCCAGTCAGAAAATTATTACTTTTCACTGTAAACTTTTATTTATGTTTAAATTCATATATTTTCATTTTTTTAAAATCACAAATAGAATCTATAGAGGCCCAAATCCACTTACATCAGGAAGGATATTATCAGACAGATTGTGCATACTTCTTTTAAATCAGAGAGAATCGTTGTTGTATTCGTATTCCATGTTGTGCACAGACACAAAATGGCATGTAAAAATCAATTAAATCACAGAGATAACAATGTGCAACAGCCCCTTCTATACTGAGGATCAAGAGAAATCACAGGACCTTCAAAAATTAGACATCTCACAGAAATGGCCCCTTTGCTCTTGGAATGGAAGGCATGAGGGGTGGAAAGCAAGAGGGTGGTCTGGAGGTGCAGAGATCACATTCGTTTTATAAAACCCACATGGCTTATGCAACAATGGCTAGGAGGTCACCCCACATCCAGCCTCCCATCTCCCAGCTGTGGTCAAGATTGAGGTGATACATTCCACAAAGTCAGCCCGCAAGATATGAACGCTCCCAACAGTTGTGCAAAAGGAAACAAAAGTCCTTACGTAAGAGGTGGCTGAACAAGACTGTAAAGAACCAAAAGTAATTATGAAATATGAATTTTCAAGTTTAAAAATGTCCCCCCTATGAGTTAGTAACATGAATTGGGTGGGGAGAACCTTCCAGGAAGTCTGGGGTACTCATGTCAGAGACAGAGGCAGGAGAAATGGAGGAAGTGGCTTTCTACCTGTCTTCTCCAGCCAATATCTCACAGGACTTCTGAGCCCTGTGAGGAGAGAAGCCGTCTCCCCATTGCTGTCCAGAACATGATGTGACCGATGGGGTGAAGACTAATGGGAACCCAGCACCATCCTGTCACTTCGACTCTCAGCTTCAGGGCCACCTGGAGAGACTGTCGTGCTGCACAGGGCGGCATTCCCATGAGGACACTGGCAACGGTGAAGCGGGGGCAGTGACGGGTCTCCGGGCTCAAGTGGCTTTGCAGAGAGGCCATATGAGAAGGACTTGAGTGGGCTTGTTTGTGAGTACATAAATAAAACCTAAATAAATGGAGATTCATACCACAATGACAGACAGAAAGATTCAACAGTATTAAATATTCATTTTCCCCAAATTAATCTATAGATTCAACTTATCTCTATCAAAATTATAGCAATCTTCTTTTAAAGACTGAGACTTATTCTAAAATGTATATGGAAATGAAAATGTTCTAGACTAGCTAAAACAATCTTAAAAAGGAAGAACAGAGTTAGAGGATTCACATTATCTAATTTCAAGATCTACTGTAAAGCTACACTACTCAAGATACTGTGGTATTTTCATAAAGAGTGTAATGTTACTTCCTTTGTCCAGTGCCAAGTCCAAGGATGGACCTCTAATATCCTGATAAGGCCAGGCTTTCCAGTCTTTGCTGCTGTTTTCTGCACCCTGGAACTACAACACTAGAATAAAAAGATCCACAGTGGGTCTAGGTTAAAGTTTGACTTCTGAAGATTTCAAGGGGAATGCTAGAGTGGCTGATTTCTAGAATATTTTTCCTGAATGAACTCTTGATGTATCTTTACACAGTCTGGGTCCTTCTTACTATTAAACGTGTGAGCTGCAATTCTTAAACATCAGCATCCTCCCAACCAGCACCCCACTCATTGACAATACAGACACCACAGACACCTGGCTCTGGACTAGTGCAGGTGCTGTAGAGGGAAAACAATATTCCAAGAAACCACACCTTAAAGATGGAAATCTGGGAGAGGTTGTCTCTGCTGGTTGTGTTTAAAGGCAGTAATGGCCACATTGCCAGCGGAAAGTAGGATCCCGGGAGTCCAGGGCACAGATTGGTAAGATAGGTACTGAAATTATCACTTACAGTTGCTTTGGATGAAATGCCTTTTAAAAAGAAGTATTTAGGAACCCAAGGAGCTCTTAAAATAGAACATTATGGTGGTTATATGGAGTGGGATGGTGCCTTCTAACTGCACTGGAGAGTCTACAGAAAATAAATAAGCTCAGGGCTTTCAATTCTCAGTTGAAGACAAGGTCAGAGAAAAAGCTGACATCTTCTGCCCTAAGGAAATCTGTTTCCATTATATTTGAGATCAGAACCAAATTTGACAGAGTGACTATGAATTACAAAGCAAGTTGAATCTCAGCTTTGCCAGGTCTGTCATATTTAAACTAAGACATGAAGAGGGGAAAGTAAGGCCTTATAGACTGCAATGATTCTGACAAATATGAGCGCCTTGACTTCCCAGAGCTCCACTGACTCTCCCGACCAGCAGTCACAGCCCCAGCTCCCCTGAGGAAGTTGCCACCCCCTTGCCTGAAGTTTCTATAATAACTTCTACTGAATGTCTTGGAGAGCTACAGTCCATTGCCTCTCATTGCCTCCAGAATACTGGGAGTCCAAGAGTCATATCCCAGCTGCATTCCAAAGGTCAAGTCCAAAATACGACCTGGGGGGAGATAAAATACATGTGAAAATACTGAACTATTTTTGCCAATTTATATCAGCACTAATCTAGGGAATATGTGTATGTTTTTGGCAATGGCTAACTAGGCATGGTGTTCTTAGGATAGAAGATATGGGCAACCTACTGAGGCCTTTGTGGATGTATGTGCAAGAAGGAAAGACAGACAGGAAGAAGGAGATGAGGAGGAGGAGGAAGGGGCGACAGAGAAAGAGAGAAAGTGAGAGAGCAAGAGAGTGCACACAACTTCTTGGTCTAGGGAACAGATACATGTTAGGAACCACCATACTGGAAAGTAATGACTTCTCATCCCAAAACCAAAACTAACCAGTTTACAGACCAGAACCCCTTGAGTTAGGAGGAAGTCAGCTCCCACTAGGAGAGGACCATGGACAGTGCCACAAGTGAGTGCTGTAAAGTTTCTTTTATAAAGGCCTTAATCCTGTTCATGAGGTCTCTGCCCCTAATTCCTAATCACCTCCCAAAGGGCCCAGCTCCCAGCACCACTATCCTGGGAGTTAGGATTTCATCTTATGGATTTGGGAAGGACACAAACATTCAGCTCATAGTAACTTCAATCCTGGGAAATCACCGAGATTTCTGTTACCATCAAGTTCTTGCTTATATCTGATTAGCTGTGCAGAAAAGATAACATAGCTGGCCTGAGATTGCAGTCCTTAGAAAGGCCTGCTTGCAAAGTTGGTCCTTGGCTGACATCTGGGAACTGGAATGTTAAACAGTTCCCTACACCGATACAAAATTTTCCCTAATTGACAAGAGTGCCTCACTGTGCCTAAACTTTCTGTGCAAACAGTATGCTTTGTGCTGAATACATGTTTTATTTCTGGAAGTCTGGGATTTTGGCACATGCTAGGTAGAAGGAGTGCCTATATGACAGGCCTCCGGTAAAAATCTTCAACTCCTAGGCTCAGGCAAACTTTCCTGGTGAACAACGTTTCACATGGGCTGTCACAACTGGATACTGAAGGAATTAAGTTATTCCTGTGTGACTGTACTGGGAGAGGACTTTTGGAAACTTACACCTAGTTTCCTCCAGACTTTGCCCATACACCTTTCCCCTTTGTTGATTTTGTTTTGTATCCTTTCACTGTAACAAATCAGAACCATGAGTATGACTCTATGCTGAGTCCTGTGAGTCCTCCTAGCAAAACTTTGAGCCTAAAAATGTCTTGGGAACCTATAACACAGTAGGTATTTCATCCTGCTGCCTGTCTGCAGAAATTTGAGAGCAACAGTTTCCTAATGATTTTGCCTTAGTCCCTTGTAGTCTGAGTGGTAGTGCTTTTAACAATACAATTATTTTAAAAACCTCAAAGGTTTCCTGTGAAACTGGTTCAGATCTCAATGACCCAAAAGTCTACCATGATTCTTTTGTGAACAGGTCTCTCTCTTCTTTGAGAGTTGCAAGCATCTGTTGGACAAGAACCCTAAAATTTTTAGAAGCTATTTTGTCTAGCTCAAAGTATCTACTAAGCACCACCTTAAATCTTACAGAGCTCTTAATAGAGTGTCCCACAGCCATACTTTTTATTAAACCTACACTACTGATATTATATACTACTTTGAGTTTCCTTTAATGGCTTGAGGGACTGCAGGTGAGAAATAATTTTGTTTTCCCACTTAGAAATCCCTAGCTTTTCTATAATCTATTTTCTGCTTGAAAATGGAGCCATCTTTCTCCAACTCATCTCTTTCTGTCTTAGTTCATTCTGGCTTTTATAACAAAATACCATAGCTTATAAATAACACGAATTTATTTTTCACTATTCTGGAGACTGGAAAGTCCAAGATCAGGGTGTCAGTGTGGCCAGGTTCTGGTGAGGGCCTCCTCTGGGTTGCAGAACGCTGGCTTGTTGCTGCGTCCTCACATGGTGGAATGAGTGAACTGGCTCCCTTGGGCCTATTTTATAAGGACACTAATTCCAATAGGGCTGCACTATTGTGATCTATTCACCTCCACGACCCCTCCATCATCTCCCAATACAATCATGTTGATGATTTGGTTTCAACATATGAATTTGGGGGGACACAAACATTCAATGGACATAGCATGTGGAATGACAGACAGTAGAGACTTGGAACAGTGGTGGAGGGTAGGAGAGGGTAGATGATGAGAAATTACTTAATGGGTACAATGTACGTTATTCAGGTACCCTAACTTCACCACTACACGACCTATGCATGTAACTAAATTCCACTTGTACCCCATACGTTCATACGAAAAAAGAATAAGGCCAACCCATGTCCTTCCACAGACTTCCTGGTGTTGTCTGCTCACTGCCAAGCCATCTGTGGCTGGAGTCCAGTGCATTTTCTCCAGATGCTCTCAAATATACAAGACCCTCCAAGGGTGACAATGGCATTGATTCTCATTCCTCCTCAGTCTACTTGTCACACTGTGTTCTGGGAAGAAATGGTGTGAGAGAAAATGACTACTGCTCTCTAATGGGGTTCGAAAGTACCGTGAGTCATTGTGCTAGAGAACACAGGCAGGTAACCATCAATTCGATCTCCCTTCTATCTGTCTCTAGCTTGGACACTCCATGGCAGACATTAGCTTTACTCAATTTATGCAAATAATCGGGGGCTATCACACCAGTCCATCAGGTGGCTCTGCCAGGTACCTGTTCAGACCTGCGGAACTCAGAAGCAATTGGGAACAGACTCACCTTGAAGGAAAGAAGAAAGTCTAAGCCCAGTAATGAGGCCTTGTTTGCTGGAGCAAAGGGACGGATCAGGCTTGGAAACTGTGGCCTGGATTCGTCCCCAGCTTCTTGGATTATGCCGGAGTCACTGGGGCCAAGAGAAAAAGGGAGAAGCAAGCCAAAAATAAGTTTTCCCTAAAAATTGTGAGAATATGGAAGGCTCTGGAACTGAAACCACAATCTCAAGCTAAATCTCAGTCCAGCACCCAACAAGTTCCTGGCCACTGCTGCTTTCTGGCATGTGTTCCAAGATACACAATTTGGGACCAGTGGTTGCCTATCTGAGACTCTGATTTATTCTAAATCAAGTTTATATCTGTTATATACATACAAATTTACCCAAGTTGCCCTGTAGACTTTGTCAAAAATACGTGTGCAAGATGTGGGGTATATGAGAACTCTCTGTACTATCTTTGTAACTTTTTGTAAATCTAAAACTATTCTGAATCAAACACTTATCAAATACGTGAGGGAGCAGGTATTTCCCACGGCCCCACCTCAACTGTAATAACAAAGCCGTGCCATGTGGGCCATAAGCACGGACTTTGAAGTCACACAGGTGAGTTCAAATCTTGGCTCTGACATTTTTTATCTTGGGTAGCATGGTCAAATTGAATATATATCCTAAGTTCAAATGTCTCACTTAGCAAATGGAAATAATAGTTTCTGCCTCTGGGATTGTCTGTTACATGGAGAAATATAAAAAAAGTTAAAGCTTATTAACAGCCTATCAAGGCCAGGCACGGTGGCTCACGCCTGCAATCCCAGCACTTTGGGAGGCTGAGGCAGGTGGGTTACCTGAGGTCAGGTGTTCAAGACCAGCCTGGCCAACCCAGTGAAACCCCGTATCTACTAAAAATACAAAAAATTAGCCAGGTGTGGTGATGGGTGCCTGTAATCCCAGCAACTCAGAAGGCTGAGACAGGAGAATCATTTGAATGCAGGAGGTGGAAGTTGCAGTGAGCCGAGATTGCGCCATCACACTCCAGCCTCGGCAACAAGCGCGAAACTCCATAACAAGAAAGAAAGAGAGAGAGAGAGAGAGAGAGAGAGAGAGGAAGGAAGGAAGGAATGAAAAGAAAAAAAAAAGAGTCTGACCAGCCTGTCAAAAGGTTAGTGCTCAAAAATTGGCATTAATAGTATCTGCACGCTACCTAGTCCATGAGCCTTTGTCCCCTCTAGCAGGAGGGCATGCCTCCTCTCATCCAAACGTGGCAAAGGAAGACATGCAAAAGAACGCTCAGAACCAGAGACAAAATGGAGTTAATGATTGTCCTTATTACATATGTGGTCTTTCACTGAGTAATCTATTTTATTTGTGTAATCTCTCTTGCTCTCTTTCTCTCTCTCTTCCTACTCATTGTGTATTTTAAAAGGGTTTTAGACCGGGTGCAGTGGCTCATTCCTGTAATCCCGGCACTTTGGGAAGCCCAGGTGAGGAGTTGGAGACCAGCCTAGCCAATATGGTGAAACTCTGTCTCTACTAAACTTACAAAAAATTAGCTGGAACTGGTGGTCGGCACCTGTAATCCCAGCAACTAGGGAGGCTGAGGCACGAGAATCACTTGAACCCGGGAGGTGGAGGTTGCAGTGAGCCAAGATCGCGCCGCTGAACTCCAGCTCGGGCGAGAGTACAAGACTCTGTCTCACAGGAAAAAAAAAAGTGTTTTAATTTTGTTCTAATGGTTACCTGACACTAAGACCTTTAAGTACAACCCTTGCTCTCTCTTTTTTTGAATTATCATTTAAAGGTGTCCTGATATGAGTAATATTAATAACAAAACTAGTTAAGGCTAATTCTTTTCCTTCCACCATTCCCTGTCCCCTGCCAAGGCAGCTGATCTGAAGTAATATCCTTTCTTCCCCTTCTAATCATTCCAAGGTACTCATCAGCCTTGCTCTGCTTTTCATATACTCTTTCCAGACCACCCCCACTTCTGCTTATTTTATTTTTAGAATGTAATGTTCTTTTTTAGGTTCCTTACCATTCATTTCCTACATTATCCATTTTATAAATCTAAAGATCTAGACTTTATATTTAATTAGTATGAGGGTAATTTTATATGAAACCTGTTATGGAAATCCCCTCTAGGCGCAAGATCATCTAGAAAATATCCATGTTTAAAAAGATCTCAACCCTGACGTGGAGCCATATTTGGAACATGGCCTTTTTATGCTTCGCGTGATTCTGTTGAGTTTTGGTAGAATTTTCCAAGGTTTTTGAAATTTTAGTAATTCTTCTGTTGTTGCAATTTCCAATATTCTGAATCAGTTTAGTGAAATAACTTTAAGAGGCGAGATAATTATTGAAAAAAATCCTACAGTATGTGCAATTGCTTATTTACATTAACCTGTGCTATGAAAATTGTTCACGTCTTATTTTTTTTACATTTACATCCCTAAATAATTTGGCAATAAAAAATTAGGTTTCCCTGCCTCAACTTTCAATATATTATGTTTACATTTGTCAGAGGCCTTTTGTGATCAGATTGTCAAAGCATAGAGCTGTTGCAAACACTCTCTTCTTAAACTATTATTTGGTCTTACTTCTACAGTAAATATATATTTAATGGCCTACCTGGTCCCCATTTTGATGTCTCGCCAGTTGTTTGGCTGGCTGAAGCTCGATCTCTAGTGGATTCCTCAGGGAGTTCTCATGGGAACACTACTCCCCGTCGTCTCCATCATACCTCATCACCTTCCTCAGATTTCCCCGGCACAGATGCAGAGACCTCGTGGGTCTGATGGGTGATGATGATGGGCTTTGTCCCAGCCCATCCACTTCTGTTTTGGAGTTTGAGGGGATATCTTCCTTCTAGTCTTACTGTCTTTGTGCTTTGTTTGACTTTTGCTAGTTTAATTGTTCTGTGTGTTTTGAATGGGGAGGTTTGGAAGATTCAAAAACTATGTCAACACTACATAATTAAAAACACCTTCCCAGAATTTGACTTTTTTCTTTTCTTTTTCTTTTGAAATGGAGTCTTGCTCTGTCACCCAGGCTGGAGTGCAATGGCGTGATCTCAGCTCACTGCAACCTCCACTTCCCGGGTTCAAGCGATTCTCCTGCCTCAGCCTCCCGAGTAGCTGGGACTACAGGTACCTGTCACTACAGGTACCTGTCACCACACCCTGCTAATTTTTTGTATTTTTGGTAGAAACGGGGTTTCACTGTAGTAGCACAGATGGTCTCGATCTCCTGACCTCATGATCTGCCTGCCTTGGCCTCTCAAAGCGCTGGGTTTACAGGCATGATCCACTGTGCCTGGCCTATTTTTAACAACTTCTAACTCCCACCTTTGTGAATTATCTATTCAATCCTTTTGCCCATTTTTCCATTAGGTTGTCTCTGTTGTATTTATGGACTTGTCACAGATTCTGGATACAAGCAGTGTGTTGTGCGTATGTGCTACAAACATTTTCATCCAATGGGGCTTCTCTTTTCACTCTCTTAATCATGTCATTCAATGAAGAAAACTCCCCATTTGTAATGAGATCCAATTTATCTACCTATCTTTATAATCAATGATGTTTCTGTAACATTTAAGAAATCAGTCAGGCACAGTGGCTCACATCTGTAATCCCAGCACTTTGGGAGGCCGAGGTAGGTGGATCACCTGAGGTCAGGAGTTTGAGACCAGCTTGGCCAACATGATGAAACCCCATCTCTACTAAAAATACAAACATTAGCTGCCATGGTGGTGGGCACCTGTAATCCCAGCTACTTGGGAGGCTGAGGCAGGAGAATCACTTGAACCCAGGAGGCGGAGGTTGCAGGGAGCCGAGATCGTGCCATTGCACTCCAGCCTAGGTGTCGAGAGTGAAACTCTGTCTCAAAAGAAAAAAAAAAAAAAAAAGAAGAAGAAAAGAAATCTTTGCCTATCCTGAGATCATGAAACTATTTCTACACTATCTTCTAGAGTCTTTATTGTTTCTTCTTTCACATTTAGGTCCATGATCCATTTGGAAGAGATTTCTGTGTGTGGTATCAGGTAGGAGGCAAGGTCCCTTTTTGTTTCTATGAATAAGCCAATTAAGCCAGCTACCTTTACTGAAAAAGCATTCTTTCCCTCTTTGAACTGCAGGGCTCCTTTGTCATAAATTGTGAGATGGTGTGTTTTTGTTACGCTGGTCTATTTGGTATCTTGCACTGCTTTTCCATGTACTGCCACATTATAAAAAATCCTAATAAATGGTAGCTTAAGTCCATCAACTTTATTTAAGACTGTCTTGATTTTTCTTGCCTTTTGGAATTTTCATATAAGTTTTAGAATCAGTTTATCAATTTTCATGAAAAATTCTTCTAAGATTTTGACTGAGATTGTATTAAATTTATTGTTGAATTTGGGGAAAACTGACAGCTTTATAATAATGAATCTTCTAATCCACAAACATGGTACATCTCTCCATTTATTAAGGCACCTACAAAATTTTCTTAGTAATATCAGTTTTCTGCACAAGGTTTGTTAGATTTATCTCTAGGTAATTGATGGTTTTGACGATATTTTAAAAGGCATTTGACGCCGGGTGGGGTGGCTCACACCTGTAATCCCAGCACTTTGGGAGGCCAAGGCGGGCGGATCACAAGGTCAGGAGATTGAGACCATGGTGAAACCCCGTTCCTACTAAAAATACAAAAAATTTGGTGGGCGCAGTGGCTGGTGCCTGTAGTCCCAGCTACTTGGGAGGCTGAGGCAGGAGAATGGCGTGAACCCGGGAGGCGGAGCTTGCAGTGAGTGGAGATTGCTGCACCACTGCACTCCAGCCTGGGCGACAGAGCGAGACTCCGTCTCAAAAAAAAAAAAAAAAAAAAAAAGCATTTGAAAATATTATTTTGATTTTGAATATGTAAGACTTAAAAGCTTTTAATTGAGTCCCTCCTCTGGTCAGGCATCTGTGTGCACCAATGCAGAAAAGACAGGGACTACAAGGAAGGAAAATGTTGCATCAGGAAGGGCTGCTGCCACATCTATGTCCCCCCTCCCCCAGACCTCCTCCCCAAGCAGGTAAGTCCCGACTTTCCCCACCTGGCCTGTCCAGGACTGATTAAGGATTCGGTGCTATCTGGATTTTCACAGTAGTGTGGTCACCCAGAAATGCCCCCAACGGCCTGAGGGATCCTTCTGCCCTCACCCTTCCTGAGGGAAGGGCTGATCCTAAGACCTGTTACTCCCACATTTTCAAGTATGAGAATCCTGAAAAGAAAAATCATTTCATATTTCCCAAGGAATAGATACTTATTATAGCAAAGTCAGATGTATAGAACAAAGAGATGGTAAAACTTGCTCGTAATCTCATTACCAGCAGATAAACATACTTACATGTTTTGTCATGTCCTTTCCTACTTTGATCCAAGGGGTGTGTGTGCAAAATAATCGAGACATCACACTCTACATAATTTTGAACCTCTTCTTTTTTTTTTTCACTCAACAATATGCAGTAAACAGCTTCCCCTATCAGCGGATGTATTTCTACAATTTCATTTCCCCCCCAAGGCTTCACATCATTCTCACCATGTGCATATACCACATTTTATTTACTAATTCTTGACCAATGGATATTTAGGCTGCAAAAGATTCCCTTAGAATGAAATCTTTCCATTCAGTTGGTTGTTTCCTCAGGAAATATTCTTTGAAGTGTTTCTGGTTGAAAAAGCAAGCATTTCTTTACATTTTAATTTTATTTAATTTTTAGGGATCCCCAAAAAATTAGGCATTCCTGTTCCCTAGGCTGGTCTCACACTCCTGGGCTCAAGCTATCCTCCCACCTCAGCCTCCTAAGTAGCTGGGATTGCAGACACGTGCCACTGTGCCTGGCCAGCATGCATGCTTTTGAAACTCCAAAAATACATTGCCAAATTGCTGTTATGAGGTTACATTTTTGTATGCCAAAGAGTTTTGATCAACCTCCAAATACTGGATATAGCTTAATTTTTCACTATTTGACGGTAGGTATAATTTCATATGAGTTTCACTCATGTCACTCGTATCCATGTGAAGAGACCACCAAACAGGCTTTGTGTGAACAACAAGGCTGTTTATTTCCTGAGTGCAGGCAGGCTGAGTCCGAAAAGAGAGTCAGCGAAGGGAGATAGGGGTGGGGCCGTTTTATAGGATTTGGGTAGGTAAAGGAAAATTACAGTCAAAGGGTGTTGTTCGCTGGAGGGCAGGGGTGGGGGTCACAAGATGCTCAGTTGGGGAGCTTTTGAGCCAGGATGAGCCAAGAAAAGGAATTTCACAAAGTAATGTCATTAGTTAAGGCAGGAACAGGCCATTTTCACTTCTTTTTTTTTTTTTTTAATTTTTTTATTATTATTATTATACTTTAAGTTCTTTTGTCATTCTTCAGTTACTTCAGGCCATGGATGTATATGTGCAGGTCACAGGGATATGATGGCTTAGCTTGGGCTCAGAGGCCTGACAATGAGTTTACAATTTTAAGTCATATACATTTAAAAAAAAAAAAAAAAACACCTCAGTTATGTTTGTGAAATATTTGCTTGTTTGGAGGAATGTTTCAACAATCTTTTGTAATAAGTTGGAATCTCCCAGAGTAAGAAAAGGATGCATGAAACATGTAGTTGGCACCCTTTTTGTGTCAGATCTTTTCAAGTACATTATTTTTTTAATCTTGAGAGCTTTTTA